TGGCAATTTTTGAAAATAAAAACGTCCCCATTACATTTAAATAATTTTGCAGATGTACTCAAAGCAATAAATGAAACACTCAGGTTATGAAATATACTTATTTCATATATACATTAATTAGTTATGTTAAAGACTTATAAATCAGTTTCCACTTATACAAGGGAAAAAAAAATGGCCCTCTTAGGATAAAAGCCCCTGCCTGGTGATGTGCTAGTAAATGTTTAATAACTGGCCTGGGGGGCTTGAGGAAGGACTGATTTGTAGGCATGTCTATATTTACACAATGTAAATACTTCCTCCATGATAGATTTTCAGCTAACAATATAATGTCACTGGATGTACAGTTGGGAAGACACACTCAATAAATAGCATGCTGTTATATAGAATTTCCAGAACACAGATATAAAATAACCTCCAGAGCATAGATAGTAGTACAATTCAGTAAAACAATTAGAAAGTGGTGACTTTTGAACATTTATTATCTTTATTTTTAATTACATGTTTATAGAATAATGTTTTAATAAAGCTATGTTTAATAACCAGCTCACAAAATTCCTGGAAACCCAACAGTTAACTCTCCTTAGTTGGCACAAGCCTACCCCAGCCTATGACTGCCTCCATCTGCTGTTCCATTCAAATAAAAAGCAAATGAATGGAAGATAAACTAGAAATTGAAGCAAGATTTGCATTGCTAGAGATATTTAAGAATCAACAAGAGAAGCACCACAAACAGAACTGTCTTGGAGCTAAAGATGCCTCTAGCCCAGATGACTTAACTCTAAGATTTGTTACTTTTCATAAACTATAATTTAAAAGAACTCCTTCATCAATAATTAATATGTTAAATACAAATTTGGATAAAAGATTATCATTAATAGGCATTTATATTTCCCATTACCTTAATTATGATCATTTACAGCTAGTTACTAGCACTGGAAACATAACTTGAGTGTACAGCATTCCTCTTTGTACCGTAATTAACCGATTTAAACAGTCAACCTCTGTAGCCTCTGTCTTCTCACACACAAGTTCTATCATGCCACATATGAATCAATACCAAAGTATAACTATGTCTTTCATTACTGGAATAGAGCAAAACTGTCATAAATATATTTATGACTTATCAGCACCCTCACTGAGCTCATATCTCTCACGAGAATCTGATTGCTAAAATCCTGTCCCAATACCTCCCGTTACTAAAGGAACAAAGCATCTGCATGAAACTCTTCATAATGCACGTAATTACCTATGGAGGGAGTGGAGAAAAGAAACATAACAGGGCCATGATCTTCCCCAAGCTTCCCTCAACAGTGAGCCATCTAATTCTTACAGGGGGAGCCCTTGTGAGTAACCCAACCCCTACTGCGCACAGACCTTCACCCTCATCTCCTTTTCCCAGTGGACAAATGCTTCTCCAATTCAATAAACTGGGGAGCCTCTTACCAGTGTCAAACAGAACCGCAGTCTACTAGGTCTACTAGAAAGGGTTTCCCCTTCCCTATGTCAGCGCTTTTACCTGATTTTGTTTGGTTACTATGCACACCTTAAAATAACTATTCTCTTATACTCTATCTAGAACTAAGATAAGAATGTTCCATCACAAGGCATTCAGGGCCTATCTCCCATTTTATTTTAGTTTCTTTGCAAAATATATCAAAATAAATGCAAATTAGTTTTTGCCATATGCCATTTGCTTGTACTACCATTCGATTGGCATTTTGAATACTAATCATTAATGACGTTTCATCTCTTACTCTAATGTTACATTCTGTTGTAGATGCATGAAGATTCACACATATTAATACCAATTAGTGTTAATGGGGATTAAAAGCATACATTTTTGATGCACTTAAGAAACTATATTTTAACATTATCAAATATTTTCCCTAGAATTGACATTCAAAACATCCACAAAATGGTTTGAAAAATCTCTCCTATTTTTCAAAATCAATGTTAAAGTTACTTTAAGGTGAGACAAAGTATTAATATTATAAGAAAATCAAAATAAGCAGTAAAGACTCATTTGTGGTTTTTCTTTTTAATCTTATTGTTGCCTAAACCATTGTAAAGCCTAATTTACACAATCAAATTTACTTTTGAATTGATCACTATATTAATTGTCTCATTCTATATCAGTTCCAAATTGAGATTTAGGCAGCTAACTCAATATATAAAGCCAAAAGGTACCAATTCTCCAGTACCAGGCCCGGTTGCCCCTCGTGTAAGCAAAACAAGTGCTGGACCTCAGTCTTAACACATGAGCACTTTTGTGCAGTGCACAACCTTATCTTAAGATCCTGGGTTGAATATATTTTGCTCATCTCTTGGTTTCTTCAATTTTGCTGGTCTTCTATTTGCTCCATTTTTCTTCCTAGCACCATTATGGTTTCGTTGTGGCACTGGGACCTTCTGAAGAAAGTAAGGCCTACTACAAGCCGAGCTCATTAACATCTTGTCTGTCATCTTGTTCCCAAAGCCTGCCAATTTTGTGTTTTTCATTCTGACTTATTTTTATTATGACTTATTTTTATCTTTAATGAGTGGTTTTTATTAAATGCTTCTAAATCTGCTTCTTTAAGCAAGATATACTTTATCTAATGAAAGCAAATGGTAGTCAAAGTATACATATACAGATTTGTTCTTTTTCTTGCTCATTCATAAACTTCTGCAAAAAAAATGGATTTTTTATATCAATGTGTATTTTGTCTTTAATACCAAAATCTTAAGTAATATAGACTCAAGTTTTCATGTTTAAATTATTTGAAATTCTTCTTCCTGTACATAATGTGAATACTTGTTCAAATCTTTCCTAGAGACCTAAATTGTACATTTCTACATCACAGGTAAAATTTGTAAGAGAAAGTTAGAAAAAAATATAGACAACGTAGCTCATGTATTAATAGCAAATGCTATTGAAGTTCTAGTGATAGAAGACAATTTCTCAGAATCTTCTAATAAGTACTATCTTCTTAGGAAACAAACAAACAAACCCTGGGCAAAACAAATTTCCACATGGGAGTGACCAGAATGAAAATGATTTGGGGACATTATTTTAAAAATCAATAGCACTTGATAATTTTATAAAGAATAAAATAATAAAAGTACAGTTAGACAGTTCCATTTCGGTGAAGTTTGTTTATTTCCATGTTCTCAGTTTGCAACTCTAAAATCTGCTTCAGGAAGGCCGAATTACATGTGTTCAAGGGCACAAGGGTATGAATATGGGTTGTTAGTGAAATACTAAGATTTGTCCCTATGGAACTGAGGATGTAGACTTGGAGAACTGGCAAATAATTCTATATCGGTAGGGAAGATAGGGCAAATGGCAGCTTGAATAGAGACATTACTTTTCTAAAGAGGAGTGACATGGTGAAATTACCATTTAAGGAAGATTAATCAGGCAACATTGTAGACAGTGAATTCAATATATCTGGGAAGGACAAGAAAACTAAAGGGGGAATTCGGGAAAGAAGGAATCGCAAGTTAGGTTTCAACCTGAAGAATGTGACATACTAGTCAATAAAAGAAAAAGTGAAATAAGTAACGAGCTTAGGAGAGAAAAGGTCCGATGTTATAAATTTGATATTCATGTATCAGAGAGGCTTAAGCCATGAGGAACTGCAGAACTTTCTTATACTTTCTTATAAATACCTATCAGAAGGACATATTCAAATTAATGTTCATCAAGGTTACAAACATAAGTACTTGGATCTGAGATTTATCGCACAGGATAGTGACTACAGTCATAAAAATGTATGCATATTTCAAAATGTAGAGTAAGGGAGTAAATTTCAAATGTCTTGCCACAAAAAGATGATAATTGAGGCCAAAAAATGCACATTACCTTGTTTTCATCATTCCACATTATATACATATATTAAAATATTATATTGTACCCCATAAATATAGACAATTACTATTTGTCAATTAAAACAGATAATAAAATAAGGATTTGGGTTTGTAAAGCAAAACTAGGAACATTTCTCAGCTTCACAAATAGGGTCTAGAAATAGGTTTTAGTGTGTCCTGTGGAAGAAATGTTGAAACCATTTATTTCAAGTAAACCTTGAAACCGTGCAGTATGAGTCCCAAGGCACCTTTTATAAAAGCAGAGTGATTCTTTACAGTCCTGGGCAAGGAAACAGAGGCAGTGTCAATAGGGGTTGTAAAGAGCCAGCAGCAGCCCACTTCCTCCTGGTGCCTCTCTCTGGCCTCCCTGTCCAGTCTAGGCTGTGAACCTGACCCAGCCTACACCATGACAGAGCAGGGAGCCTGCCTCAGACACACCAATGCCACCTGTGCAGAGGACAGGCAGCCTCAGCGACTGACCTAGTCAGGAGGGAAAACACCCCCTCTCCTCCAATTCATACCACAAACCTAGGATGACTCCATGGTTTGTTTCATAGACATTAAGCTTCCTTATGAGAAACAACGCAACGCGAAATCTTAAAGAGTAAAGAGTGACAAGTCAGCTGAGTAGAAATCTGAATCATCGTAGGAAACTAACCCCCTTACCAGGAAGAAATGTCCAAAGTAATTTCTCTTCAAGCTCTTCTCACCCAGATGACTCGCTTCATTTGAGTAAAAGCCCTCAAAACTCAGTCTACCTCAATCAGAAACACGCAAGGAGCCTTTGATTATTCATGATTCTTTCTTTCTTCTTTCTTTCTTTCTTTCTTTCTTTCTTTCTTTCTTTCTTTCTTTCTTTCTTTCTTTCTTCTTTTTTCTTTCTTTCTTTCTTTCTTTCTTTCTTTTTTCTTTCTTTCTTTCTTTTTTTTCTTTTTCCTTATTTATTTTTGAGACCCAGTCTTACTCTATTGCTTGGGTTAGAGTGCCATGGCATCAGCCTAGTCACAGCAACCTCAAATCCCTGGGCTCAAGCGATCCTCCTGCCTCAGCCTTCTGAGTAGCTGGGACTACAGGCATGCGCCACCATGCCCGGCTAATTTTTTCTATTTTTGGTAGAGACTGGGTCTTCCTGCTGCTCAGGCTGGTCTCAAACTCCTGAGCGCAAATGATCCGCCAGCCTCGGCCTCCAGAGTGCGTGAGCGACCGCGCCCAGTCCCCGATTATTCGTGATTCTTAAGCCCTTCTCCAAAAGGTTTCTCTACAGCAGGTCCTGGTAGAGCTTGAGCCACCATCTTTCAGAAGCTTCCTCAAGTGATTCTGATATCACTGATCCAAAGACCCCCATGAGGGAACTGCTATATAAGAGGACTCCAGCCTGACCTAAGAACTTGACCTTTTGGGTCTAAAGATTCTTGCCTTGACTTGGTCTTAACCCTCTGCAGCCAATCAACCCAAATCTACATCCACATTGAACTTGTTAGCATTTCTTTCACTATTTAAATGGTTTTGTTCAAACCTAGGTTTGTTCTTCCTTCAGACTTATTCCAGACATTCTCTCTCTCTCTCTCTCTCTCTCTCTCTCTCTCTCTTCTCTCTCTCTCTTCTCTCTCTCTCTCTCTTCTGTGTCTAGGGCTTTTGTAACCAAGTACCACAACCAAGTGGTTTAAAACAACAAAAACGTATTCTTTTCACAGTTCTGGAAGCTTAAAGTCCAAAATCAAGATGACAGCAGGCCCTTGCTCCCTCTGAGAACTGCAGGGGAGTTCTCCTCACCTCTTCCCAGCTTCAGGTGGTTTGCAGGCAAGCTTTAGCCTCCCCAGGCTGGAACCACTCCAATCTCATCTGCACACGCTTTCTCTGTCTTTCACTTCTCTTCCTTCTGTACTGGTCTGTCTCTGGGTCCAAATTTCCATTTTTTTAAGGTCACCAGTCATATGGGATTAGTTCCTACCTTAATGACTTCATTTTAACTTAATTACCTCTGTAAGAATCCCATTTCCAAAAATAAGCTCACATTCAGAGGTACTGGGGTTAGGACTTCAACGTATCTTATTCGGGGAACACAATTCATCCGTTAACACTCTTCTCAGTCCTTGCTAACATTGTTCTCTTATTTACTTAATTATCTATAAAAGCAAAGCACTCTGTTAACTAAAGGGTCAACGTTGTTTGATTACAACTAATCCATGTTGACTCCATTAGTGTTAAGGTAATTTAAATGACTGTTTAGCACTTTACTAAATGTTTAATAAAATTAGTAATTAATTCTCATGAAATAAAATGGCTCTCTTGCTACAACATGAAATGTGATGGAAATCACTTTTCCTATTGAATTTGATACTATAGAACCTGGCTTACTGGGACAGAATACAAAAATATAAGGATTCATATTTTTACATAACTAACATTAAAATGGTAACCTTGCTCTTAACCTCACAGAAAAAAAATCTATTTAATAATCATCATTTCTTGGTACATCTTTATTATTACTAGTGATTCCAGCTCCATTTTTTTTTATTATTTTTACTTTTTTGTTGAAATACTAAGCTCTGCTTTTTAAAGCAAGTTGATTCTTTCTGGCCTCTTCTTCTATATCCTTTGCTGGCTCCTTGTTCTCTACTCACTTTGTGTTAAGTCCCATTTTCAGTACTAGTCTCATATATACACTCTTTCTCGAAGCAATCTCATCCAGGGCTTTTAAGTACCACTATTGTTCATGATTCCCAATTCTGAATATTCAGCCCAATCTTGTCCTCTGGGTTCCAAACTCATGAAGTTGACACTTACTTGACCTCAAGTGGCAGGATCTTACAGTATCTAAAACAGAACCCTTATGTCTCCAAACACTTCTGCTCAGCATATACACACATGCATGCACACACACACAATCCCCCCCTTTTAAGAAAAAGAGCTGTTAAAATTAAAACTATGTTAAAGCAAAAGCACCAGTAAATATACATAGTTAAAGAAATGCACTTCTGTGTTCCCTGTCCAATATCTATGACAGGTGAGCTGTGCATTTCATAGAACTCAGTTGATAACGTGTTACCAACGCTACACCACCATCCTTCAGACACCTCCTAACACATTTTATCTTAGCATTATAGGGTCACAGGTGGTTTATCTCACAGATGGTTTGAATGTGGTATGGAGAGAAAATTAACAAAGCTTCATTTCTACTATGAGACACAAAATTCTAGTTTTCATTTGAGAGAATGTTTTCTAAAATAAACACATATGACCCATATGTGTTAAAGACTGCTTATTTTCTATAAATCTTTTAGAGTTTCTGTTACCATAGGTAAGTCTAGTGAGAGTTTTGAGTTTTGTTGAACTGATTATTATTTCTAACAGTAATATGACCTTCACCTAAAAGCGATGCAAGGTGCAATAAATGTCCCATGGTCATAACAGCATCCAGAGACAAAGTTTTGTTGAAATGCCTTCAAGTCTGATTGCTGGGCTGTTGGAAGATGTCTAAAGCTTTGTTGGAACAATGCTGCCAAAATAAGTTCAATGCTTCACTGAAGCTACTCTCAGAAGATGGCTCTGAAATGACATGCGGAATGTTAGACTTTAAAAACACACAATTAAGGCTCACTTATATATGATAACTAAAAATAATGTACTAAAAGTATATGATCAGGTCTTATGTCTAGATTATACATATCTAATGATAGAATATACATTACTATAAAACAAGCAAAAACAGAAGTATCTACACAAATGTGTATTTAAAGGCTCTTGGATGACTTGATGGATTTGTAACATAGTAATGAATTGCTTTTTTAAAAAAAGATTTATTTCACACAGTTTTCTATGGGCTTGTATTCCTGCTTGTTGCTTTCTCTTTAAGTTTGTCTGGCAAAATCAGGACTAGGAATGTAAAATATGGGGTGAACACACAAATTTTCTTGGGGGTAGAAGCATGAAGGAAAAAGTAAGGATGGAAGATGGCTAGAGCAGTGGAATGAAAAAAGGGAAAAGAAGAATCAGATGTTGCAAACCAAAGCTCATCCACAGATACCAGCCTGAAATGATCATTTCTCTCCAATTAGATTTCCCAGTCTGAGTTTTCCCACTCTGAAGGGTAGTTTACATGCAATGACAATAAGATAATTAAAACCCTTCATTTGTTTTTGTTTTTTTTTAACTTTTAGGAAGAGCTAATGTGCCATCTATTTAGTGACCTCATAGTCAAGTCTTAGTCATGAGCATGTACACTGTCTTCAGCAAATTTGCTCTCCAAATATTGTCCCCTTTTTACCCCCAAACTTGTTTACTGCTTCATAACCTCCGTCTTTCGACAGCTGGTGGGAGCAGAGAACAACATGAAAGGGGGAAAAAAGACAGCTGGCTTCAGTGGAAAGAATACCAGATCCGGGACACAGGGGCCTCCACCCTGTGGTCTGCTGGAGCAGGCTTATATGGGCTTGGAGAGTTGGCTTGCTAAGATTTTTTAGGAATTTTGTGAGCCATATGTTAAATACAGCCATTATTAAACATCAAATTATACAAACTTACATTTAAATCAGTCCTATTAAAAACAGAGGTACTAAAGAGTTAAAACTTATCTCTTCCTAATTATTTTATTGTGTGTTTTACCTTATCAATGCTCTTGAGCTTAGTTATGCCTATTTTATCTATATGATAGAAATACTATATAAAGGCATCCTTGACACTGGACAAGGTGTGAGTTTTCACACTGAAGACTTTGGCAAATACTGCAAATCAAGGGATGACACTGTTTTGTTGATTATCTAGACATAAGAAAATGATGTAGAAACATTTTTAACAATATAAATCAAACCGCAAAGTGTGTCATATCTGCAGCCATAACATTATCAATAGCACAAAAGAAACTGAGGAAATAATTTTTGAGTATTTGAAAACTATTAACTAGGGTAGCAAAGAATTTGTTTATGTCATTAATGGAATAAAGTTCCAATACTGCCTTCCTTGTTTTACTTTCTTCTTTCTCCTTAAAGCAAGTAAAACTATTAACCAGTATTCATATCAGAACTACAGAACCAAGAGTTTGTCAAATTCAACAAAAGGATGCTGCTAGAATTAAATGGCTATATAGAATTCACACTGAAGAGTATCACAATGTTATTCTCAATATTATTTTTCAATTTATTGCTACACATTCTGTATATAGATAATATTATCATGTATGATATTATAATGTATCATATACATATATGTTTTTGTTTTGCTTGATATCCAGTTGTTAAATGTTTACCATTACCCCATTGTCTCTACCATCCTAAAACCTATCAATTTTGGAAAAACTATTTAACTCTATGACTATCAACTTCCTCATCTGCAAACTAGTGAAATAAGTACCTTCCTCAGAGGATAATTTTAGGGAACAAAAATTTATGTCAGAACTCTGTATGGATTGTAAATATTAGGTATTATTATAAATTCAAACATGGTTCAGCTCCTAGTACGAATGCTAAGAACTTGCAGGATTTGCAAAGATGAATAAGGTTTGGTTCCTACCCTCAAGTAGACCACAGTCTAATGGTGAGAAATGTGTGTAAATAGTTCAAAATTATTTAGGAGAGAACAAAATATTTTATAACAGAGTAAAAAGCGAAGTACTATAAGATTAAAAGAAAATAACTGATTTTACCTAGAACACCAAAGAAGGCTTTATAAAGAAGATGGAATTTCAAAATAAGCTTCAGAATAAGTTGCATTTGTATTAATTGAGAAAATGTACATGGAAAGTGGAGGTATTCTAGCCTGATGGGTGAAACTTCAAAACCTTATCATTACAAATATTACAATGCCAAGTCAGAAAATCAAAATTGTATTGATAAATCTACTACATAAAAAACCTTATGTGTTATTCCAATGTAAAACAGAAATAATGCCTTTATATTAATAGATTATACAATCCAGTGTTCCTATCCACAATCTTATGTCATCAAAGTTTGAGTAAACAATTATTTAGTTTTTCCAACTTATAAGCCATGTCCATTTCTGAAAACCATAGTATAAATTATTCCCTGGCCTTTTTTCCTTAGTGAAAGAAAACATTCATGTTGATTTTTTAAAATTATTTTTCAAGAATACTCTATAAAGTATGTTTAAGTTTTTCACAGGCCATAAGGGACTATCCAATAGATTCAAAGACAAGTAGCCACTGATTTCCAATATATGCATACATAAATTATGCACACATTATGTGAAAAATGAAGAACATATCCAAGAGGTTCTTATGGGAGACTGGAACACTAAGGCAAAATAAAAGAGAAAATACTCTAAAACCTTCTTGATGTGAAAAAGGACTAACTATTGAGGAACATTATTGCATCCCGTGGGTAATGAGCCTTGCAAGGGTTGACATTACTCAGTAAAGTTTATTGAAAGCTTTTTTCCTCTTGCTTGTCAAAATATGCTAGCTAACTGTTTGTGACCAAAAAAAAAAAAAAAAACAAAAAAAAACCACAATGCTTCGAAGAAAGCTTGGCAGAACATCTACAGAATCTGTCTTAAGTGTAATGAAAGGGAGATGTCTATTAATTTCTCACACACACAAAAGTCTGACACAAAAGGTCTGTGGCCTTGACCTCAAGTGACCACAGGGCCAGTCCGGTTCCAAAGGGATTAAGAAGAGCATCTGCTCCTCTGAACGGCCCTTTTCTCTCTTCTCTGGTTTCTAACTTCCCATTACACGCACTCTCTCCACAAGGCACCGCGCCAACGGAGCCCTTCACTCTGTTCTCTCCCTGATGACAGCTGTCGTTCTGTCGCCGCCTGGACGTGCAACATTTCCACAAAATCTAAAGCGGAATTGGGAGGGCAGGGGCCGAAACACGCAGCCAAGATCTCCCTCCTGGAGGTCTGGGGCTCCTCAGCCACCACTTTTGAACCTGCTGAAGGTAAGAACCACCTCGACTCACTCTTAACTAAGGAGAGTTACGGCTGCTCCAGTCTCCTCAGAGCCTGGGCATTCCCTCGCGCCTGGTGATTAAGCAACATTCCTGGAAATCATCCCAAGAAGAAAGAGCCCACAAGCCGCCGTGTAACTTCAGCAGGGACGCGGAGGATGCCAAAGCCAGGTGTCGGGTCGAGGGGCTAGGAAATAGCTCACTGCCCCAGCGCCCGCCCGGGTGCCAACCCTGGGCTGCGCGGCGACGCCCGGCGGGGCGCGGAGAACCCAGCGCTCGGGACTGGGGGGTAACCGCGCCCTCCCGCAGGGCAGGGGCGACTGGGCGAGTGCCCGCGGCTGGGGCGCAGTACCAGCCGAGCCGGGGTGGCGAGGAGGGTAGGAGCCGGCGAGAGCGCCCTGCTCGCCCGTCCGCCCCTCGCCCGGAGCTGCCGAACTGCCGCGAGAGCCCGGAAGGCCGGTCGGGGCGCCGGGTCCGAGCCCCGGCGGGGACGGTCGGGGCGGGGGCGCGCGGGGCACTCACCAGCTGCAGCGCGCAGAGGCAGATGAGCGAGCAGCGCCCGGTGCAGCAGCCCATGGTGCTGGCGGCGTCCGCGCGGCGCGGGCGACTAGGAATCCGCGTCCTCAGGCGCCGCTGCCTCCTGACTTCGAGCAGCCCCCGCCCGGTGTTAGCCAGCCGGGCCCAGGCTCGCCGGCCCCGCGGGCGCCCCTCGCCGCTCTCGGGCTGCGGGCTCGCGCCCGCCTTTGTTAGTTTCCCGGCGGGGCGGGCCGAGGTCAGTGCGGCGCGCACGACCCGAGCGTCTGGCGGGGGTCCCTGCCTCCCGCGGTGCAGGTCTGCTGCTTGGGGAGGGGAGCCCGCGGGCGGGCGGGGGGCCGGGGCGGGGGACGGAAGGAGGCTACAGATGGCGAGTGGGTGACTGTCTGTTTAGGGGAGGGGAGTATGAAGGAGGTGGGCGTCTGGAAAGTGGAGTGGGCTGTTTGGGTTGGGGTGTGTGTGTGTGTGTGTGTGTGTGTGTGTGTGTGTGTGTGGTGGGAGGGGGTGAATGAAAGGGAGTTCCCAGTGGAGGATCGGCCTGTCTCGTTAGTAGTCTTAGGGGAGAGAGAAGAGGGACAGAGAAAGAGAAAGAGAATGAATATGAATGAGCGTGAACTGGGGCGGCCGGCGGGGCTGAAGTCCTCGGTGACCGGTGAAACTGGGGAGACCCGGGCTGGGCTTTCCCGTTGAGGGTTGTGTCCGGGGTGGAGGGTGGTCGGACGAGTTTGCTGGAGAGGGGGGCAGGGGTGAGCTGAGCTGCCCCGGAGGTGGAGAGGGTGGCAGTTGGGAGGGCTTGGTGTCCGGGGAGGGAGGCGGGGGCGAGGTGCCCCGCTGGGTGCGCGCGGCAGGGCGCGCCGCGGAGCCGGGGGACTGCGGGGCTGCGAGCGCGGGCGGCGCGGGGCGGGGGCGAGGGGACGCTGGGTGGCTGGGGGTCTCCTGGCGGAGGTCGCTTCTGCCCGCCGCAGTCGGTGGCTCAGAGGGCGCCCCTGGTGGAGTCTGCGGGGGAAAGTTGGACAGAGTTGGTTGGGAAGAGACGCGGAGGCGAAGGGATGCGCTGGCCCGGAGCGCGGGGACAAGCCAGGACGCAGCGAGATCGGGCTTCGGGTTCTCAACTCAGAGCCTCTTTGAAATCCTCACCAGGCCGGGAGAAAAGAGAAGGCGAAGAAGAGGAGGATGTGTAGCGATCTTTTTTCTCGGAATGAAGTTCGTTTCCGGAATAAGGATAAATGTGATTTCTTCACAGAGAAATACATTGCTTGAGGAGAGTTTGATAAGATCTGATCAGGGCTAGCTAAGATCCGGACAAACTGTCCAGGAATCCCAGGGAAATTCTCTGGCTTTCTCTATTAATAGAATAGAGCGGAGGAGTTCTGCTGAGCGTTACATTTCATCAGGACGCGATGTCAGATTTCGTGGGCGCATTTGTTGTCCCTGGTGGAACAGAGCAAGTAGCTCAAAAGCACACCAGAAGAACAGGGAACAAGCCTCCAGGCCAGTTGTCTCTGAAGATGCTGTCTGCAGAATTTGGCACAGAAACCCTGTTTCTAACCCACTGCTGCCCTCCTGGGTTCTTGGTGGTAGGTTGGTAAGAAAATGTGAAATATCTTTTGCGTTTTTAGAACATTCGCTCCTTACGTGTTAACTGCTCAAGCTATTCGTTCAGGCATTAAACGAAGTTTGTTTTTATTTGTTTTACAAGTAACTGGCCCTTTCTGAAATGTTCTTCAGGATCTATGTTTATAATTTAAGAGTTTTATCTCCCAGAAAAGTCTTTGCGTGATATCTTTGAAATTTTAGTAGGAACACGTGAATAACCTCAGGATGGGGTTCAATAAAAAAGGGTCCAGGACATTCATTGTTTGGGTTCCATCTCTATCCATTATCATGAAGAAGGGAGAAATAGAATCAGAAATGCCCCCTTTTTTAACCCAACCTTTAAGACATCAGTAATTAAGGATTATGAAAGCATGGTGTCTTTATGCACAGTCAACATAGTCATCACCATTCATGATGGATGAAAACAATAGGGAAAAAATGGACACTGACTAATAAATAATTTATCATATGAGAAAGGACAATGCAGAAAGTCTCCTGACGGTGACCCCCGTGAAAGCTGTAGGAAGCAGCTGAAGAGTGAGAGGATATGAGCAAGTCTATCTACACATCATGAAGTTATTGTAGCCTCTTCATCTCTGAGACTGTGATGAATGATGGTAATAAAGACACTGACACTTCCTTCTCTCCAAATTATATGTGTTTACACCAATATGCTTTTTCATGGTTTTTATTTGTTTAGAAGGTACCATATTATGGGCTCATCTGCATCCGTCAGGTTCTTGCCAGGTGCCTGGCACGAGTTTAAGCTTTTTATGTGTGTTCAGTCATTTAACCCTCACAACTGTCACATGAGGTGGGTGCTCTGAGCGTCCCCATTGAAAAGATGTGGAGACAGGAGCAGGGACTCCCCTGGCTACTAAATGGAGGAAGAGGAATGCAAAATCAGGTAATGCACTCCTGGATTTACACATTCACTATGTTGCCTCTGAAACTTGGGACATAAGTAGCACTTACCCTCAGTGGAGCTGACTTCTCCCTCCCTGGGAAGTGGGCATAATAATTTGCATTGACCTAACTCCAGAGCCAGTACCACTCCTGTGGAGTGATTTAGGAGACCAGGAGGGTCCCCTACACTTCTCCTTTTCCCACCACCCCCAATACTGATTGACCCAGATTCGAGTTTCTTCCATGTGTGATTTAAGGCAGTTGAAAATAGCTTTGTCTTAAATGCATTTAAACAGGAAAAGATAACACAATGTTAATAAAAGTCTAGAAATTCTGTGAAGCTTCCTTTATTTCTCTACAGTCTCTTATTCTCATTTTCTAAATTGAATTGCATCTTAAACTAAAAATCTTCCTCCCTTCTGATTTTTTTCTCTTCCTTCCTCTAGCTACCCTTCCCTCAAATATTTTTTACGTGCTTCATTTCTTAATTCCTTGCCAGGTAAAGGGCTGTGCTAGTTGCCAGGTTTGCTATGGTAAATGGTACTTCCCCCTGTCCTCCCTATAAGCGTTTACACTAGGGAAGGGGGAGCAGATGCAGAGAGGAGTTAGAGCCCCTCTGCAGGGGGTTGGTACCAGGTGATGTCATTGAGATTTCTTCTCCTGAGGATTAGGGAAGATGTAAAAGAGGAATTAGTAGTCTCTTAGGGAGAGGAGACAAAAAGGGAGTGGAAAATGACAGAGCAATGGAAAGGGTAGGGCCTGGAGAAGAGTTTGGAAAAAACCATTGGAAGAAGAAATAATAATCTAAGTAGAAAAGCTCATCAGATATATGGCTGTTTATGCCACTTGTGACTATAGAATCTCAGAAGTCATTTTGCTTCCCTGAGAGCCCTATTTTCCCCATATGCAAAGTGAGCACTATGATATGACTTCCCCCCCACACCCCAGGACTAAGCCTTGGCATTTGTCCTTCATCCTCTACCTATGTGGAGCTTGCCCCTCACCTGGTTAGAGCTCAGCCTCCTGTCACATCCCACAGGGGCCTTTACTGAACATGCCATCTGCATAATGCCCCAGTGTTTCTATTTTATTTTTTTAAAAAACACTTATTTGCTTACTTTATGAGTTCCTGTTTCCCCCACTCAAATACAAAGCCATTTCACCAGTGCTTATAGCAATAGTTAAACTCAATATTTGTTGAATGAAGAACAATAATATGTGTACATTTTTAGCATAATACTTAATAGTGTTGAATATATGTATGCACATATATAGTAAGTATGAAACATATATGTATACATATACACACATACCTTAATGCCATTTGAGCCTATGTGTTTTTGTTTTGTTTTGTTTGGGAGGTTTTGGTCTTCTATCTTTTTTTGTTTCTCTCCACAGTATGAACAGTTCCCTAAATGTGTTTTCTCTGGTGTCTACCTCTTGGGAACTTCTTGGAGGAAGCAGATTATAATCTTCTACACCTCCTCCTACAACTGGCTTAACTTCATGACTATCTGATAGACATTGCAAAAACAGTATGCCAGCTCAGTTGGGGCAAACACAAGGTGTACACTGGAGCAAGATTTGGACACACATGTATGAAGATTTTGGAGCATGCCTACGAAGGATTGAGGAACCTTAGTACTGTCACATCCCTGTTGAGACCACCCTTCTGGTTAGAATTGGTTCACTTGTTATGTGTTGCAATGGAAGTCCTGGAATGTTGGAGTGGGAAAAGGGGAAGAGGTAGAAGTTATAATTTTTCTATTCTCCTACTCTCCAAAAAGAGGCATACTTCTTGCTATTACAAGCACTTTACATCTTTGCATTAAGAAATGGCCTCCAGAGGGTTGTTTTATTGGGAGATTAAGATGAGAAAGAAATGGAAGATGAATACATAGTGTGTGTGGGCTGGGGGAGTGTGTTTTTAAGGCTGTAGGAAAGCCTGAAGAGTGGGAGAAACCAAAGGAGAAAAGATAAGGAAAATACCTTTGGTATGTTTTGATTCAAGAAATATTGTTTATAATTAGTTTTGAAATCTGAAACAGATAGCCAAGCACCATCTTTTAAATTGCTGTTTGGGTTAAAAATAAGCCTCCGTTAATATTAACTGTATTAATGACCTCACAGCACTGATCTGGTTACCATAATTAGTATTGCAATGATAGGCATTTAATATTTTCCTAATGTCATGCACCGAGCAGCCCCACGTGACACTGACAAGTTCAAGTATTTCTCACCATCTAATTTATTGCTGACTATTTGCAGCCACCAGGGACTTCTGTGCAACAAATGTTACTGCATACCCACTATGTGACTTGGGAGCCACCAGAGTGCTCATATCAGGGACACAAACACTTGCTTACTACTTTAAGTAGTAAGCTGTCCTTTGCTTTCCTCTGGAGTCTAGAAGATCAGAACAGATTAGGCCTCCTAGATTACACCCCTAACAGTCATCAGTAACAAAGGAAGGGAGAAGGTAGCATGACTGAAAGTGAAAACAAAACACCAACACAAAGTCTCTGCAAATCCTAAGGACATGACAACGTTTTATGTGTGCATGCATGTATGCATTTATTCATCAGATTACATGAAGTGTTCCAAAGTAAAAAGAAGACTTTTTTTCCAACCCCCTCAACCCTGCCCCTGTTTTTAACCACAGGAGGCATGTATAGAGAGAATATCGCTAACAGGTGATGAACTTTGAGAGAAGATTTTTCTCATATCTGTCAAGAACAATCCTGTATTATTGCATTATACTATGTATGACATTACCATTAAGGAATGTGAGTGAAAGGTAACGGGATCTCTGTGTACTACTTTTGAAACTTTTTTCTTGGTTTAAGATTATTTTTAAGTCAATAGCTAAAAATAAGAAACAACCATATAAAATGTGCTATGGGTATACAGCAGCCATGTGCAATACCAAACAGATCACCCATTAGAAACATAAAACCTAACACAAAATACGTTAACTTAGGCTAATGTGGAGTGAACATATGAGTGATGGTTATTTTTTTAATTGTTCATGATATATTGATATGCATATAAAATCTTCAAATAATTACACCAACACACATAAATATACAATTCATTTTATTTTTGAAACCACTGAGATAAACTTATAATTCAAAATGGGCGTGACTCTGCTTTTTCCCCGTGCATTTTTATTCAGGAAATTGAGAGTTTTTAAACAACCATTAAAGGTAGTAAAATCACATCATTTCCCTCTATGTTCTTAAATGAGAAAACAAGAGAATGAAATGGGTAGCAAGAGAGAGTAGTCGTTTGTGAAAAGTGAAGGGATGTTATGAAGCAGTTTGGAAAATTAGAAGTGGCATTCAAGGCCAAATGGCATAAATTCCCTTTACTAGATCCCAAAGTGCCCTCGGTAAGGTCTCTCCTGAAAGAGGTGCAGCTCACCACAAGACAGCAAATTTTAACAGACAGAGCCCTTTTATCTTAGGGTTACCCAGTGTGTTTTCCGTAGTGTGTACACATGACAGTGATAAGAAACTAATGGTTTTGAAAGCAGTTGTAGGTCTAGCTCTGATTTTTCTCTAAGTCATATATAAAAAATAAATGCATTAAAATAAAAGGCACAGAAAATCCATTTTTGGTTAAAAAAAAAATAATCCTAAGTTCTTACATGTAGATACTCAAGTGTGTAGCCAAATCACTGGTGCTGGGCAGAGTGGGAGAGGCACAAAAGTAATTTCCCCAAGTAGCACATCCAGTTGAGAAAAAGCATCCAGTGGGGGTTTGTAGTAGACTCTCTCATTTTCCTGCCCGCATCCCATTCCCCTCATCATTTCAGTGCACACAGGGTCAACTTCCTCCTGCAAGCGCCTGTATTTCACCAGCAGGGCAGACTGCAATTCTGGAGAATCAACATCTCCCAGGAGCAACTCTCAACGTCTGACTGACAGGAGCTGGTATATAAGTACCCCGGCTCCCCAGACTCTCAGCAAAGATGACCCTGTGGTGCACATTCTGTGCCATTTCCCGGAATTTCCCAGCTTTGGTGGCCCACGGTGGTAATTTGTTTTATATCTCACCTTTTATTGGCTCTTTCCTTTCCAGTTTTACTTTCTCACGTCTCTTCTGTGGCTCCCAGGGATCATCTCTCGAATAAACTGCTTGCATTTGAATTCTTGTCTCATGGTCTGCTTCCATAAAACCCCAAACTAAGACAGGGTTGCACTCACCTGGTTTGTCCATTCTTGGCACTAGGATCTTGAATAATCGGTAGGATTCAACGCCATTATATATACATGTGAAAACAACTTGGAGGAGTCTTTGAATCCATATTTCATAAATACAGTAAAAATGTTAGAGGATAACACCTGAAGCCATCATGTGAGATCAAGCACCACAATACACTGCCTACAAGAGATTTGACACAGTGGGAATGCTGACATGAATTTTCATTCCCTACTCACTGAAGCTTAGGAAACTCTTCCAGTTAACAAGAGCTAACTAGAAGAACTACCTCTGTTTTGTTCAAGTTTGTATTTTTCTTCTGGTATTGATAGAAGGCTCTGGCATGCCTGCTCTGGGTCTCTTCTATCAATATTTTCCCATGAATATCTCCAATGAAGTAATCTTGCCATGTGTCAAGACTCATTGCAATTATTAATATATGCAAATATTCTCTGCTTCTGCTTGTGTGTGGCTCAAAATCCATTTTCAATACAAAGGTATCATCTCTAGTATTCGGGGAAGTTGCCTCTGACAATGCTTTCTCTGCTTGCCTCTCACCAGCCCCTTCTGTCCCCAGTGAGGGCCTATTTCTCTATTTCATGGAGCTCAGCTATTCTGTGATTCCTCATTTTGGAAAGGAAGGGGAACTTTTATGTATTCTTTTGGCAGGAAGAATAACTTCCAGATGGCATACTACTTTGAAATGGAAGCAGAAACAGACACCTTGTGATACTTGTCACGGCTTTAACTCAGAGGTTTTACTGTTTTATTATTTAGTTCTGGTCATGTGATGACACAGTCATGAGCTGCATTTTTTTTTCTTTCAATCTCATTGGATAATAGACACTTCCAAGGTTGTGAGATAGGGGAGCACACCTCAGCTGCAGTGAAACATGAACTTTTTGGGGCGTGGTGGGGGAGCACATATCTAAACACATTAGATATCAAAAAAGCTGCCAGAAGAACATCTTCATAGTTCTTCTGCCATAAATGCAAACTATAAACGATTGTGCTTCACATGCAGTCTCTGCAGCGTGAACCAGCCCTTACACTGGGCATGATTACATGTTCAGACTAATGCTTTGCCCAAACTTATAGTTCTAAGGTGCTATGATACCTCTTAACCTACATGGTGCCCACAATAACCCCAGAGGTACCTAGGAAAAGTGACTAATGCAGGTAGTCAGTGACGGCTATTTCTTTTGTCTACATAGTAGCCATCTCTTACCATCAGCAAAACACATGTATCCAACATTAGTTAAGGTGGCTGATATTAACTACTATTAACATCCTAAATCTTAGTCCCTTAACACAATAAAACTTTGTCTCTCATGCATGCAGACACTTCTAGTTGGTGGGTAAGGTATTCCACAGCGTCATGCAATGTCTCGGTGCCACTCATCTTGTGGCTGAAGCAGGGTGAGGCCTCCCATTCAGCTGATTGAGGGAGAAAACAGAGGTTTGCACATGGGAGGGTTTTAAGGACAGACCTGGAAGAGAATATATCATTTCTGACCTCATTCTTGGGCCGTAATCAGCCACATGGCCACAGCCAACTACAAGGGAGGATGGGAAATGTGATCAAGCTCTAAGACCGAAGAGAAGAAGCAGGATTTGGAGAACTCATGACACGCTCTGTCAAATATATCATGCTGCTCCTAAACGTCTCATTCTGTTCTGTGATCTCCTCTGCCTAGACTACCTAGCCTCCTTCATGCACTTCCTGTCTCTAGAAAATATTCACCTTTCCTGGTCACTGAGCTCAGAAGTTGCCTCCCCTAGGAAGCCTTCCCTGATTGGCACCCTTAGGGGCCACTTTTCTTGTTCCCTTCCCACTCTTGACCATCCTCTGTTATTAAATTACATGAGTTGCATTAACATTTTCCATATGATTTTGGAGAGTGCATATTAGTGACTCAATACACATTTGCTGGGCTACAGAAAGAGTGGCGCCCATCATTCCTCTTACTCTGATGTGTTTTCTAGCGGCACGAGGACGGCAATCCCCCAACAGGGTTGGCTTCCTAAGAATTATCTGTGGAATTTGTTTCACCTCGTCCCTCAGCACCAACCCCCAAGTGATCATTCCTCCTCCCTGTTCTGTGGGGCAGAGTGTATTTCCGGACGTCGCTGACCTTGAGTTTGGTCATGTGATTTGCTTTGACCAGTGGAATGTGGGACTAAGTTTGGGTGGGTCAGTTTCAAACAGAGGCTTTAGGGACCATCACATCTTATGTTCCTGCCATTGCCATGAAAAGTACAGGCCTCAGATGGCTGCTGTTCCTGCTGTCTGTGTTCTAGAAAGAGAAACATGTGGTAGAGACTCGAACCCAAGCCTAGTACAAACCAGCTGCCTTAGTCCATTCGGGCCACTATAATGCCATAGACTAGGTAGCCTGTAAGCACAGAAATATATTTCTCACTGTTATGGAGGCTGGGAAGTCAAAGATTCAGTATCTGGTGAGGGCCCGTCCCTTCCAGGCAGTCCTTCCACCTGGGTCTGCACGTGGTGGCAGGGAATAGCTAGCTCTCCAGAGTCTGTTTTATAAGGTTCAAGAGTGTTTCACCCACATGACCTAATTATATCCTAAAAACTTCACCTTCCAACACCATCACCTTGGTGATTAGGTTTTAACATGAATGTCGGGGGCACACAAACATTCAGACCGTCCCAGCTGAGCTGCAACACAATTCCTGCCCGTGGGTCAGAAATAAGCCAATGAGCATTTTCGCAGTGCTTGTTCCACAGCATAACTGAAGCAAGGTGAGGCCTAGAATCTGGATTCGATTTGACCTGTGTTTATAAGGATGCTCAGTCAGCCATGTTTGGGAACTACTGGCACATTGCTTTCCTCCTCATTAGGAGAAAACCTAGTATTTTAGCTCAGGGACAGGTTATGTACAGAATTTATTATCAGCCATTTCCCCAGCCACGTGGGCAGAATATGGGATCCCAGCATTTCCCAAGTGGCAGTTGAACATGAGCCCAGTGGCAGTGGGGGATTGGCGAGGCAGAAGTTGGATGTGAGTAGAGCTGTAGCCATCCAACCTCAGTTTGGGCAATAGTGCTGTATGAGCCTATGCAAGATGTAGGTTGGTGCATTTTTTTCTTCAACTTGAATTCCTTGTCTTATTACCATATTGAAATGGGCCAGATTATCAAATCTTATAAGATCAGTTAAATCTTTCTAGTTATTAGGTAATGTCATTTAAAGGTAAAATAATTATGTTCTGCATATAGTCTGCAGCAATAAGAGCTGTAATAGCAGAATTACTACTGCATATGTCTACAAGGTTGTTTGTTTTTTCTGGCATGTAGAATGCTATTTTTGGTCTTCTTTTCTTCTCCAAGATGCTCAAGTAATTTTTTTATCTTTCATTTTTAGCCCTACCAACATCACTACATTCTATTTCTCCAGTGATATGTGTTCTCTGTTCATGAATAACAATTGAGGATTTGCAGAAGGCACAAAAATACCTGGCTCCATGGCAGCCGTTCCTATGTGCTATGGTATAAGTAACAAAGGAATTTGACTCTTGCTGTGTCTTTGGTGAAGTAGAGAAGGCATAGGGAACAGAAATATATTTAACTCTATAA